CCATTGATACTTAAAGCTTGAGTCGGCGTTGGGAGGGCGATAGACACAGCCAACGAGTAAAGAGAACTTATTTTTTAGGGCAACCTGTAGCCAGCAGCTGCCTTCTACTGCGGAAAAGTGCGAGAGGTCCAACGGCAAAAAATGTAAGTGTTTGCTTCACGTAGACGCAGCTGCCCCACCACGGCTATCTTAGCGATCATTTCGAATGCAGTAATAGCCTAGAAGCGAGAGTTCGGAGTCAGCTACTGAGGCTGATGCCCACGTCTCAGTTACTAAAACAATATCAGGACAATGGACGAACACCAGATTCTGAAGCAAAGGCATCTTATTAAGCAAGGATCTGGCATTTAAAACAAAACGTTTGAAGGGAAAGGCTGTTAGTTTCGGAGGGAGGTGGGCTACATCGTCCAGTTCTGGGCTGCCCACGGAGCAAACGGTCCGGATGCAACCATCCGGTTCTGCAAAACATTTTGTGGCATCGAAACATTCTGACGTGGATAAAAAGGGGTAGGACTTGGAGGAGGGAAAGACGGGCAGGTAAACTGGTAACCATTGTTAGTTAATTTATTTTCAGTTAAAAATCCGCGAGGCAGATACCACAACACATTCCCGCCGGAACGAAACTGAGGATTGGACGAGTTAACTGATCCGATATAGACATTAGCACGAGGAATGCATTGGTAGAACGGCTGTGGAGGAAACAAGTTAGGTGGTGGGGGACGCATTGTTTCCATTGGAGCAAGAGTTTTATTAAATGGCGGAAAAATCGACATATTCGGCCTAACTGCCTCGATATGAGGGCTGCGGGACAGTTACGAACACGCTACGTTTTGAGTCGGGATATTTGAGGCACTGTTAGCCGATTGTGGAGGAAAATATTTTATAATGGTGCTCGATTTATCGGGTGTCCGAGTGTCTGAGACAGCAATTGGATTTGCCTTTGACTTAGACACATGCTTAGGCTTACTAGGGGTTGCTGGGGGAGTCGATAGAGGCGTGTTTATACCAGGCGTGATGGTGTGTTTAAAGAGCTCAGCATTAAAAGTAGTCGAATTCCCTACGGAATTGACTATGCCGTGATTTGCAGATGCCGCAGATGGTGTTGTAGAGGACTTATTCAGACTGACAGTAGGTGTCATCGCTTCCTAAGATCCCTCATCAAAGGTGTTAATTTGTTGGTCTTGAAAGTCGATGCATCGTGACTTCACAGAATGCGCTCCATCGACGTTCTTGGCGAAGCCTTCTGTATTCGCCATATGCTAGTAATCTGGTCGCATCTCCCCTGCCCCCTCCTCGGATGAATGTAACCGATCGCATCTGGGTTCCTATCGCCTCGAGACTGCTTTTCTATTCTCCACTTTGACATGAATGGCCTCATCCGACATATGAATTCTGCCTTGATGCTGTCCGTTTCGAACCTTTTACCACATGCATTCCAGTCTTACCTGATCCGCCTCCTTACCCCTTCATGAAATCCGTTATACAATGCCACATACCGGCCGGTCTTACCTGCTTTTTATACATTGAGGAGTGAGTGTTTTTTCTCCTTTAGTGTTAGTCCAGTCATACTCATTTTTTTATATGTTAGGAGTTTTTTTCTGCTCGGCCATCATTGTTCGTAACATACTGCTTATTCAATGGCCATGAATTAAGTGTTGTATGGATTCTGCATATCTGTTCTAAAATTCATTTAAAAGTTTTTCTTACTTGTTGTGAACGGATTGCCACGGGTCTTGAACAAAGATTATTATTATTATTCCAGGAGATGTGATGCCAGGGCCCATCCCCCAGTGTTTCACCATCTGGCACACCTGCAATCGCATAGTAAACGTAAAACTATGTGAAAACCACGGAAACATCTCCATTCACAACATCACTGAAGAAATTGTCGTCCGTCTCTTACTTAGTCAGTCGATCGCGCATACGGGGCAGAGATGTAGCTGTCCGCTCTCAGTCGTCAGCGCCACCGCTTACCCATGCCACCCTCGGCACGCCTACGCGTATGACTCAATCTCCGGCTTGCAACATCGTTAGGTCCACCGATATTCCTCTCATCGCCAAATGACGACAACCAGACGCAGCTCAGTTGTATGCACATCTGTTGCCACTTGTCTGGTGAGAGCGCCTGATGAAAATGCTTGCGCTGTTGCGTGACCTCTGCTTTGTTAAAGGCTTGTCCTTTTGAGCGTCTTCCCTGGCGTCTGATTTGGGAGCCTTCAATATGTCGACCATCTTACCTCGACAGGGACTGGTAGCAGCAAAGCATTACGGATTTCGAAAATACAGCGGAACTACAGACGACATCAGAGGCCCGCCAACTACAGGAAAAGTGCCAAGACTTGAGGACCAGCCTCCAGATCACCTTCGTTGATCTGACGAAAAAGTGAATTGCGATGTACTCTTGGGAAGTTTGCTGAAATTCATATGTTACGAGCGATTCACACAGACGTTGAGAGAACTACAAAGCTGGGGTTGGATTGGCACACAGACCGGAGGCCACCATAAGGCATCAGGTGATGAGTCCAAAAGACCCACTACCACGTCAATAAACATCTGGAGTCGTTTACCGGATCTGATGCAGTTGCGGACAAAGCAGCTACATCGGCGAAACTGGAAGACTGCTCCGAACGCGAATTGCCGAACACGCGGCAGCGGTACGGAGAAATGACGCCAACTCTCAGGTCGCGACCCATTCGACGAGACCCGGCCACACATTCAAGTTCGCTGAGGCCGAAATTATCGCGAGAGGAGATGATCGCGTGAGACGCGAGTTGCTTGAGTCATGGTTCATGGGACCTCAGTCTATCAGTAAGTGCAACGACATCCCCACTACATATTCCGTGCGGATGCATAGTCTGACCAAATTAATTGACCACTCGAGGAGCGCGTAAGCCGGTGAGCCAGATGGCCGAGCAATCATCATGCCAGCATCCAACACGGGTGATGAGAGTTCAGCAATTAACAACTTGCATGTCGGCCATCAAGCAATCTGCTCACCAGCGGGCAGCAATTCCTGATGAAGGTGAGCGCGGTTAACTACTATAGGTATGCGGTAGCAAAGCGACTGCATCCTATAAAAACTGCAACTTCCTGTGCACGAATCATTCATTTCCGTTACTGTCTCTGATGATGGGTTCAAGTGAGAGTCCGAGATGTAAGGCGAATAAAGTCCTTGTTCCAGCGATCGCTTCATCTTCTTCTTATCATCTAGTTCCTGGGACTCTCATCTTCGCTTGTATCGTCAATGATGATGTCACTCATCACAGACAACGGGCAGTCCCTGAATATTTGCTGTGACAGATGGGGATGAAGGTAAACTATGTAATCATTCCTACTCTATTCAGTCCCACGTTATCCATTATGCTGATAGACGCCTACCGTGAGAAGCTATTGCAATTTAACATTGATCACTCATTTTGAAGACAACTACTCAACTTTTGCGCTTTCGTCACGCTCGAATGGACATGCAGCTGAATTTGGACTACTTTGACTCCAGCTGCCACAAGTTGGGACTGACCATTAGCACGGAAACGATGGTAGTGGTTCACCAACCGGCGGCAATATCAGCAGAACTGATTGAAGACTAGTGGAAAATTTCCCACGCGCTGGGATTACGATTTCGAGAAACATTGAGATCAACGACCAAATCTCAACTCAGATCTCCAAAGCCAGCTAAGCTGGCAAAATTATACAGCCAGGAACCGTCGCTGCACTGTGCTCAGCATAAACCTGTTGATAAACACGACTCTTGTCCTGATAACGCACTTACGCGGGTCAAAGAAGCGGACCATTTACGAATGCCATGCAACTACATTTAGCCATTTTCACCTTAGCTACCTTTGTAGAATACCGGACATAAGAGCATCCCCAAAAATGAGTTCCTGCAAAAACCGACGTATTCATTGTCCACGCGATTCTCAGGCAGATAAAACTGCGTTGAAGTAGTCACGTCGTGAGCGTGGACGACGTGCGTCTGTCGAAGCGACTGTTCTCCAGTGACGTCGCTAGAAATGCTTGCGGACAAGGTCAACAAAAGCGGCGTCTCAAGGATACCCTGTAAAACTCACTCAAGCACTTCAGCCCTGAGACATGGGAAGGCCTTGCACAAAATCTGAAGGTATGGCGGATTTTCGTAAAGATTAAAACAGCCATCTTCGCAGTTAATCGAATAGCGACTACCTAGGCGAGAAATGAGGCTACTAGGACTCAAGTGTCGTGACCCCAGCATGTAATTTCTCAATCTATGGCAACCTCTATAGGTCAAAGCTTTACCAATTCCTACGAAGAATTGCTATTTACGCTAAATACGTATGCTGCTAACGTTAACGGTGATATATAATTCGCCTAACCCAACGTCTGATAGTGAACTATAACAGTCAGTGAGAAGAAAGAAGTTCTTATCTCTGGGGATTTTAATGTCCCTGGTATTGACTGACAAACATGGACTGCGGAGGGGTACCAGATAATTTTAATCACAAGTTTCCATAGTGAGAAACAGAAAATCCTCTCTCTCAGAAGGTTACTTTCGGCACTCATAATGGGAAAGGTCAACGGTTAAATTGCCTTGACCTCATTTTTACGCCGGGAGAGGGGAACGTGGCTGACCTACGGAACCCACCACCAGTAGGGTCGAGTGATCACGTAGGGCTTTTTAAATCAACTGTGCCTAATAGGTTGGAGACGAACATTTGGAAAGGTGACAATCGACTTTCGAGAGGTCTCAAAGGTGTCATGGGAGACCAAACTTTATGTTACAATTTGAGGACATCCAGTTCGTTATTGCGGAGATTTGTTGACCACCGCTGGCCTCTCAGAAGAAAGACGACCAATAACCGGATAAAGTGGATAGACTCGGAACTGCACACCTCTTAAAAAAGAAATCGTCCTTGGAAACATTATAGATTAAGGGAAGTCCAATGGGCTCCCCAATATCCGGTCTACTCGCCGAACTAGTGCTACAGCGACTAGAACATGAGGTTTTTCAAACTCTCAACCCCAAAATGTGGCTCCGCTATGTAGACGACACCTTTGTCGTAATAAAGAACCGCGACGTCGAAAGGCTACATCAGAGGCTGAATGAAGTCTTTCCGGCCAAACAATTTACCCGCGAAGAGGCAGTAGGAGACAGTCTGTCGTTTCTGGACGTGAAAATACAAAGGCTGGATGACGATTACCTCGCAACCAGCGTCCATAGAAAAGGGTCTGATTCTGAGATCATCCTCAATTATGGAAGCAATCACCCTGCGGCTCACAAAAGAAGCTGCGTCCGAACCCTCTTCCACCGGGCCTACCGGTATTGCAGCAATGAAGATCTGCTGAAGAAAGAACTAGGCTTTCTATATCGGCTATTTCGATCTAACGGATACCCAGTCAGTTTCGTGAAGAACTGCCTCAGACGTCAGGCACAACCTCGAGACCCCTCCTCAGATAGAGAAACCGTGACGCGGAAATTCTTCTCCCTGCCCTATATGCAGGGGACCTCAGAAATGATCGCCCGTCAGTTAAGTCAGTTCGGTATTCGCGTTTCCCACAAGCCTGCATCCTCGCTGCGCACAGTCTTAACTCCAGTAAAGGATTCTATCCTCAAAGAGGAACAGACTAACGTCATTTATCGCATCCCGTGTGCCAATTGTCCCTGCGTATATGTTGGTCATACAGGACGACGCCTGGGAACTCGTATTAATGAACACAAACTAGCTGTCCGTCGCCGTGATCTACTGTCCCTCGTCTTTGCACACGCACTCCAGTGCGACCACCGTTTTAATTGGGATAACACCGAGGCCATCGCCACGGCCAACACAAAACGGGCGAGAGAATTCCTAGAGGCATGGCACTCTAACGCGGATAGCATCAACCGCCATGTTGACCTAGACGTCCATTATGAGGGCCTAAGATCACGCCTCACTAAGCCGAGCCCCACGCCGCATCAGCAGCCGCTAATCCAGGCGCCCGCAGTTCTGCCAACCTACCATTCTCCCTCCCCTCCAACACGGGAGCCGTAACGGTTCCCCCCCTTCCTACCCTCCCGGCGCAGAACCCAGCATGACTCCCTACCCGCATCCCTCCTCACACGCTAATGGTTCGTCCGCCAATGTTTGTCCTGTCTCGTCTATTAGTCTAGTGTGACTGTCTCACTCTCTCTTTTCTCTTCATTTCGTCTGACAACGAGTTGGTGTCACCAATTCGAAAATTCACGAGTACAACTCGATTTTTTCCGAAGAACCTCTTCCTGTTTCATTATATCGTCTCGGAATGCCTACCACTTCTACTCTACCACATTACAGATTAACTGAAACTGAACAGCACTTACGGAAATATAAAAAACAAAGAGCAAGGTGCAAAAGTGAGGCTCTTAGGCTTCAATTGTAATCGTAAAATGGCTTACATGCATATATATGTGCACACATATACTTCTTTACAAAATGGTGTTTGCACAGAATTTTACAAAATTATCCTGTTCCTCTTGTAAATTTCCCAATATCGCCTTTTAAAATATTGTATTAACCAAGCAAATCCCCTATCACCTCCATCGCCATTGTTACAGAACGCCTAGATTAGAATTACCGGTATGAATTTGAGTGGAAAGGGCATGAGAGGGGTTATTGAGGAATGAGGAAGGGGTCTGTTCGGCTGAAAAACGAGATTAGATATCTTGGGGTCGACTCTATGCCCAGCCTCGGCGCCGATTCGATAAGGATGAAGCCCACATCACCCCCTAGTGTAACATTTGCACCGACGTGCACGGTATTCCTTTGTTCTCATTGCATATTCTTCACTTGCACTGCGCATTTCGCAACCTTAACTTGATAAATGAACACTCTAGCTGGTACATCGAAGATAACGGCAAAAACTCGAACTCGAAGTAGACTCACTGAATCAGTTGTATGCACCCTACTTCCTGTGACCCCGCAGATATCACGCGTGGTTCCTTGGCGCATCCAACGCCTTCCGGCTTCGACTGACCATAGCAAATCCGTCAACAAAGCTGCTGCTCCTAGTAGACGTAATTCTAGATGATATGGGTCAAAATTCCCCCTTCGACTTAGGACTAACACCACACCATATCTACCGCCAAATGTAATATTAATTCAAAACAACCGAGATTAGTTGAGACCGTATTACTTATTTGACGTCGATAGTCAAGGTTGGCATACTGCCCCGTCGACATCAGACGTACACTGCACGTGATTAATGAAGTGTTTATGAGTCTGATGACAAATCTTTCAAACACTATGAAGCGGACTGACATTGTCCTCAGGCAGCAATGTTATGCGCGTGAACGAACAGCCCGTAAACCCACTTTCTCCCTCCTGGTGAGCTTCTCAGCCGCAGCTACCGTACTTATGTGCACACACTGAACGGACCGGCAGCACAAACCATCCCTATCCCTTAGTAGAAAATTCGACGGAGAGGGCGACCTGGACCAACTTCGGTCATCTTTCCATAGACTTCGACGGTCAACTTAAGTTTTCTTTCCGAGATAATAAATCCATGACCTACAGCGGAGTTCGGTAGCCGACAGGGATGACTGAACAGTCCTTTTTAGGAAAGCATTGTTTATCTGACTCTGTCTCTGATGGTGGATTCGAGTGAGAGTCCAAAACATCAGGCTTATAAAGCTCTCGTTCCAGCGATCGTGTCTCTTTCTTCGCGACTACTTCCTGGAACTCGCCTCTTCGCCTCTATTAGCAAAGCATTGCTTACTTCTTCAAGAGGGGGTGCCGGGAAATGTGTTCTAGAATGCTGGTAAAACACGTCTTGGACAACCTGGCCGTGGCTTGTGGACGCAAAATATGCGATCGGGATGTCACTGCAAACAAAACTCCCGCCATCAAGCCCATACCTTTCTCCAGGCTGTCATATTTAAGAGAGTCACTCCTGTTAGCTTTTAAACAAGCCAATGCAAATCTGCCGAAAAGTAGGACAGCTCAGGTCATCTGAAAACTATCTCGCCGTCAAGGCGACATCGTCATTGTCGTCAAAAACGACGTCAGGAAAGGCCTGTCTTGCCTGCCGTATAGCATCAATGATTACCTTTTGATCGTGAGACCGCATCTTCGTGGTAACAAATTCGCCATCAAGGTCGGCGCCTATGCTTTCAAACGACCAACTCCGATCTGGCGACATACAATTTCAAAGAGGGACCTGTACGCCATCCAGCGACTGCGCCGGAGGCAGACAAACCTATTATTCTTGGTTCGGCCGTCATAAGATCGGAATCTGCAAATGCAATGGCCTTCTCCCATAGACCTGCGAGAAACACAGTCCGGGCTTTGTTCACCAGCAGCCAATCAGAGAAGGACTCAGTGTCGATTGGCCTCCAGCTCTTGCCACACTGGTGCCAATTTACGTGCGACTCAGACAGTCAGTTGACAGGGGACGCTAGACGGACTGGAGGCGACATGGGTATGCGGCCGCGATTGCGATTGTGGGAGCAGATTGCCACAGTTGCATGAACTCCAACTTGAAACATATTCGAACACTAGAAGCGCATGACATTGTCGAGATCCGAAGGAAGGAGTTGCGGGATAGAATGCACGGCACCGCGACGGAAGACCTCATGCCGCACACGCCGGCAACACAGGGACTGGTTTGATGACAATGACGAAGAAAATCTACATTCTGCCCCCGAGAAGCATAGAATACACGCGGTGGCAACAGCATTAGTGGCAACAAGGTCGTTTGCTTTCGATGTTGAAGCTCAGCATAACAGGGACTGAGGTAGATGCAGAACGACCGGCAGATTCACATAATTGAGGGGATCCAAGCATATGCAGGCCATGGTGAGATAAAGAATTGATTTCTGGCCATCAAAGCCGTCAGCGATATAAAAGCCAAAGGAACTGCTACACTGATGAGCTGATATAGGGCAGCCCTCTCGGCCTAGAGATTGCTGATCCCGAAAAGCTGGATTGCGCTCTTCCAAGACGTCCTTAACCACTCGTCCACAATCTATAAGGAAGTCATCAATCGAATTCCTCAAGAGGACACCAATGCCGACCTCGAAGACCCACCTTCCTCACAAGAGGCAATCCAAGCGGTATAGCAGTTCTCTAGCGAAAAGTGCTGTCTGCAGACTCATTTATAGCCGAGACTTGTAAGTCCGGCGACCCCTAACTAACCAAAAGGATTGCCTCACTGTTCTAGATGCAAGGACAACGATAAATCCCGCAGGAATTTAAGGCTGCATGTATTCTTTATCCGTGCAGACGCAAAGGAAAGCGTCAAATCCATGACAGGTACCGCGCAATCTCCCTTCTCAACACTGTTATCAACGAATTTCCCTGAGTCCTACTCAATCATTGAAAAGTCATCTAGGGCAATGGTTCATTTTGTCAAAGCAGCGGGACCAACGACATGATCTCCGCGGGCTTCCAACTGCAATTAGAACCCCAGGAAATGTAACCTGACCTTTACGTTAATTTCATGGATCAGACAAAGTCACTAGACACAACGAACCGAAATGGCCTCCCAAAAGTTATTTTGCCATTCGGATGGCTAGAGTGGCCCATGAAGAGGAGCTAAGTACACGACTTGATTGTGCTGTGCATCATGGACAACAGGTTCTTCTCAGAGGTGGACCACGGTTATGTACTCCCTCTCACTCTATGCAGCCTCATGCTTCTCCCTATGTTGGTGGATTCCCATCATTTGGATGATCGGGGATAAAAATCGCATAGTTAAATGATGGACAACAGCCCACTATTCGATGCATGCACGTATCCACAGGCGTTTTAAGTTCAGCATTCATGACCTACTTTTAGAGTATGACTGAGCGCTAGACACAATAATGACAGCGGACACACAGTGAAGTGCGGACTGCCTTGCCTCCGGCTGTTCAAAATTTTGACTCACAATCAGCACGGGCAAGACAGTATTCATCAATCAGCCAGCACTAAACGATAAGTGCAACGAAATCAGGACCAATATCAATGGCACTCGTTTCATATCAATAGACAGGTTCGCGCGCTCGGGGAGTATAATTTCAAGAGATATAAACAGCGTCGATAAAATCGATTATTAAATATTTAAAACCGTCGAGATACAATAGGCCATCTTGGATCGCTTTGACATCGTCCTCAACGCTTAACTGATTATGTATAGGGGCTGTGTCCTAACTACACTCCTATCTGGGGAAAGGACGTGGGCAGTCAAGCCAAGCAAGAAAGCTCAATAATTTTATCCTCAGCTGCCTCCGGAAAATAGCGACAGCGAAGTGACAGGAAATGTCCCATATACAGAGGTTCTGGAAATGACCAGAGTCCTCAGTATCAGCGCCTTGCTGGGACAGATGCAACTGCGCTGGAGCGGCCACATCGTGTGGGTGAATAACAAGCGCCTGCTCAAACGATTATTCCACGATGTCGTTAGGGGTGCTCGCGGCCAAGTCGAGCAAAAACGTCGAAACACCCTGGAGACCTTATTCAAGCTACTGTAACTTAACGCTGAGACCTGCGATGGCTTGGCAAGGGATCAATAGGCTTGGCACACCATCGTGAAAACTGCAGTAGGCGTCTTCGAAGCCAAATGAGAAGCGGCGGCCAAGGCAAAATAGTGACTCATAAGACTCGAGTGTTGCGGACCAGGGACGCGACCACCCAACGCATTCTATCACGCATACATTGCCGTCGGACATTCAGGACACCGATTGGTCTACTGAAACATCCCCAGGCCCCGCGCAATGTCAGCACGTCTGATCCGCCTCCCCTTAAAAAGCTTTAGCATCAGCATCGCCAAGGAGGGCAATGCTCCCATTCTACACTCCATTATCACCGCCAATGTACCTTCCACCAGCAATGTAGACTCTCATTCCCGCGATCGTGTCTCCTTCTTCGCGACTACTTCCTGGAACTCGCCTCTTCGCCTCTATTAGCAAAGCATTGCTTACTTCTTCGAGGGGATGATGCTGGAAAATGTGTCCTAGAATGCTCGTAAAACACGCCTTGGACAACCTGACCGTTGCTTGTGGACGCAAAATATGCGATCGGGAAGCCAAAGCAAACAAAACTCCAAACTACCCCTATTGCCGTCGTAATTTCGAATCATACATAGGCCTGGTCGGTCATTTGCGGATCCATCAAACTGCGACCGGCTAACCCAATGTCTGGAACACCGAAACACAGGCCTCACCTGTCCCAGGTGTTCCTGTGCCCCTATTCGGTACAGAAATTATGCAGTCGTCCATATCCTAGACACAAATCAATCGTCGGTATGTTTAGTTGACGTCCCAATTACCTAGTAGTCTGATTACCTGGGTTGTCATCGGAAGAAGCACTCCCTACCGGACTAGTTATTTCCAAATCGAGGACTAAGTGCGTATATAGGAAGGAGGAGGTCGTTGTGTTTGTCGATGAACTGTGGCCTGGTGAACCACGGCTCAAGAAACTCGTGACATGCCCGGTTGTAACCTTTCGCGGGATTTGCGACCTTTGGGGCGCGGCCGCGACTTGAGAGCTTCTCACCCCTCCTGATGCGTGTTCGACCATCCACGCTCGGGGCAATCTTCTGTTTGTCCGACTGGGATACTTTACCCGCAACTACGCTGTACCCGACAAACCAGCCCAGCACGTCTTTTAAGTCCATCACTTGGCTCTGGATGGTTGTCTGGGGCCTGTGAGAAAAATCCCTGTTCTGAGCGGTGTGAAGCAGCTGACCGCCTCCATTCTGGTCCTGATCGCTTAAGCATTTGCCAAGCGAGGAAGTTGCCCCAGGTAGCCATTCGCTTCTGGTTCCACGTCAAAGGTACTACAATTCAGTAAACATGGCTTCCTGTCTGCATCAGTACTTTCGGGAGTACCTACAAAGCGCCCATATACAACCGCCTTTGCGGCTGGCCGAGTATTGGTTGTGGAAGCTCGGTACTACGTGTCTACCCCCTTCCTGAATACAAAGCTTTATGCGATAACATTTTTAAGGAGTGAGGTCGTTGGGAATACCATTCGCTTACCCTCCTCTTCCATACTTAAGTATATGCCCCAGGAAGCGCGGCTAGATTTTTAGTCTGTTATTGCAATGTTGACGAATTCGACATTCGTTGACCTGTACCGCCCAGGGGATTAGGTGCTGCTGAGATGTCTACATTGTTCCGTTGTTCTGCACGCCCCACACGTAATTCTCTAGTAAGAGGGAAGCTCAGGTTAAAAAAATCGGTGCGGAAAGCAGTCAGGTAGTAGAAAAACACTCGAAATAATGGTAGACGGAATGCGTATGTCTGCCAGTAAAGCGGGAATGTTAAAACGCCGGTGAATTTGTTTAATAACAGTTGACATTTTCTTGCCCCGGGGCATATACTTAAACCTCGCTGCATAAAATTTTGTCGACATGTTTGTCTTGTAACGGACACAAAACATGTTCGCGAATTCGCCGCGTGTTAGCTGCGCTTCGGCACGCGTCTTACATGGAATACGCAATGTCACATGGGAGTACCACTTTGCCCATTTATTTGTGGAGGAGAACATGCTATGTTAAACTCCCAGGCCGTCCCGGCCCAGGACAGGTCCTGGGAGTGCACGTCTTCCGGGCCATATACATTTAGGAGCATCTTCAATAAAGCTGTACCATCCCGGTTCCTTACAGCACTTTATCCAACTTCAATTAACGCACTTGGGCTATATACGACTTCATCCGGTCACATGCGTAAACACGAAAACCCTCAACAGCATACATTACGACACTCGTGGAAAACGTATGTGGCGAAATTTGTCAAAGCCATCACGGAGGGTGGAACGTCGCATGTGAAGAGTTGCACGCCATACTTGTGAGAGACATTACTTTGCTTAGCCTGACACCTTGGCCATGTGTGGCACACGTAGACGGGTCATTTAGCTTTGTTAACCACCGTGCTAAGTTCACAACCTCGGAGGGTTGATTGATGTGTGAGAAAGAGATGCCGAAGACCGGAACAGAGAGGAATTCACCTTTACGGCAGATCAACGTATTCTTAGCAATCACGACGCGTCATCAATAATGACTTGGAAGGTTGCCAACTGATGGGACGACTCGGTACTTCTCAGAACCGAGGGTCAGGCCACATTCTCACCGAAGTGTGATTCGAAGTTCCTCTTAGACGCAGCTTGGTACGCGTGTAGCAGGGACCGGGCCCTGTGCATAGGCGGGCTAGTTAACTTTGTCAGCTACTGCACCTATTCCAACTTCCGGTCTCCTGGACTTCGTGTTGCCATCTGGGCACGTTGGTGTGGGAAGAGAGTGAAGTAGACGCATCGCAAGTCTGCCTCACAATAAAAAACCACTCGCATGTCACCTCTGCGCCCACCTCGTGGGGTATGCGGAAATCATCATTTAGGAAAACCAAACTATCATGTATGAATGCTTCACTTTGGCTCCTGAGTGTCCAGCTGAATCCACGCAGAGACTGATTTCCCCACGTTTGGGGGATTTCTTTCTACCCTAGACTGGTTCGCGATATTAAGAAAGCCCGAGTTCCACGAAAAATTATAACGTTCGTTTCCCGTCAGTGATCTAATAAAGCTTTCCGGTCACCTGGTAGGATACATCAAAGGGGCTTTTTCAAGTCACCGACAAGCTATTTTCTTTGTGTCGAATCGGGTGCACAGCAAACGTGGACAGACGGAATCCACTCATCAAGACCAATATACGCTCGGCCTATAAGACGAAGCTCGTCTTAAACAAGATACCAGTTCACAAAGGCTTGATACACCATGCACAGGCCGGCCCCATCATGCTATCGGCTAATTTGTTGCTAGCCTACAGATAGCAGGTCGCACCCACACGTGGCAAATTCCTGCCTAAATGTGCCCCGCCGTAACACTGTACCAGTTCTGCCGTCCACATACCGCACGTGCGCACCAGATCGAGCCTCGAGTTACAACCCGACGCCGGCATTGTCCGACTCGGTTGAGACTGTTCAGACAACTTTCCTCCCGTGACATCTGGTGTGGAAACTAAACCACTGCGGTACGTCGATCAGCGCAACCGCGGGGTTCCAGAGCCGTATAAGCTCTGGGGTCGGTAAAAATACGGTTGGAATTACAAAAACCTCCCATAAAAACTCAAGCACTTGTAGTACATGGTCGGACTGCATCTAACGGGTGATCGGCTGGAAGGGCCAAGCCTTCGAATCAAGCACAAACCAGGGGAAGTTGCCGGTGATCTGATGCGAATTCAAAGTCCCAACTCTAAGGCGCTCGTGTCGGTTATATAAGCTGATTCCAAAGACATCTACTTCCCTTAACACAATCGCGATCTGTTTCACGGACTACTCAGCAATTTTGTCACAGTGATCGACTCGACTTAAGCTGATGAATTCGCAAACGTAGACGCGGACACAAGTATCGCTGACATCAGGAGAAGTAGTGTTCTTGACATTCGCCGCCACCTAAGCCTCGGACAGAAAGCGATAAACAGGTAGACAACCCTAGTGGCTTTGGGCGGGGGAGGCATTCCACGCTAACGAGGGTACAACCAAGCATTTCTGGCAACGCTTTGGGGGAAGTTGAAGTTGTGAAAAACGAAGCAAACCCCACACACCACTCGGCTAAAGCGACAACTTTGACTAGTACTTTTCTAGTCCCTAGTACCCAAGACGACAGGCCCTGTCTGTTAACCTAAATGTGAGCTAGACCGTGCGTCCACGGGTAGCAGACTGTGGGGGCCTTCAGCGGAGTCCAGCTCCAGAATCAACGGGTCCTCGACTGCAAAATAAGAATTTGTTGACCACGCAGTATTAATGCCTCCAGGTGTCACATGGTACCGACCTGGCGTCATTTTCCGACAAAAATATCACAAGTCCAAGGGCTATCAAGACAAGGAAAACGTTGCCCGCCACCAATACAGCTTAGCCTGCCATCCGGTGCAATCCTCAGAGCCTAAAATGATTTGTCCGATGGGCGGAGGGAGTCGTCTACGCCCGACTCCAGGGAACCATCCATCCACAATGCCACTCCATGCAACCGCTATCCGAGGAGCCACAACCCAGCGGAGTTTCGGATAACGGACTGGCTACGATCTACGTGCTCAGGTTAAAACTGCAGAGGGTCAAAGGCCTTGAGAGGGACAATGCCCCATAGAACAAATCACCATCCGTAGACACAAACGACTCTAGTTACCTTTCCCAGCGCTCCTCTGACTGTAAGGAGGGCTCTCGCCTTGAGGATTCTGCTTGTGAGATAATCAGGTAGTCAACGAACAAATTAAACAAGTGTCCAGCCACTTTAGCTATAAGGCCTTCAAGCGCACGCAAAAGACCTAGATAGAGTCCGTCCGCGGACGACTGGGCAAAGGAGGAACAGTGCCAAAAAACTCTCTGCTGAAAGAGGTTTAGTTCAGCTGACACTATTTATTGTCAAAGGACCCAGAAAGTGGTTTTACAAAAATTCACGAAGAGCAGTCAAGTTGCATGATCGACTTTCCACTGTTGGATCCAAGCGGAGATGTCAGCCACATTCTTTTGTAGATCGTCAAGCGTTTCACTCCGTAGTTCGTGGACAATTTCCGGAGCATAGGATTCACGGGCTTCATCAAGGATCACCTGGTCGGTAAACGATACGCAAATTAGATGCCGAAAAAAACCGATCTGATAATGGCCAGAATAATAATCTGATAATGTAGGACAACACTTCTTAACAGATGGTTGATGTGCGGATTCTCGAAGGCGTTTATTTCGAATGAAGACAATCCTTCAAGATATGCAATCTACCGGACACCAGACCGTTGCCTGGGGCACAATGGGCGTTAGGACAAGGGACACACATTGTGTCGGTGATAGTTGCCCCGCCCGACCCCTAACCGACATAGCTTTCATATGCAACTCCACGAACTTTTGCTCGACCCAGCAGCCAAAATTTACTAAGCAATTAAGCCGGTGGGCTAAACTAGGTGAGGGTGACTGGCAGGCCCTTCCCCAAAGGTGCAGCTGTGCGTAAAATATGATACGGCCATTGAGGGTGAAACAGTCTTGTGGTGACACGCAGACATTGGTCAACCAAAGCTCCTAGACTCCCACTCTCGCACCTAACTCTAGAAGCGATGCAGATAACGGCGATCACCCTGTAGGAGGCCCAGGTTACTTCGGGGTGTTTTTTATGAAACCAAGAGCGCCACCCATAATGGAGGCCGGTAGCTGCTGGGGATGCCTAAGTAGTTCATTAGGGGAACCGCTAACTACCTTTATATGAGGAATAGGAATAGAACTGGCACCCTAAACAAACGTTGATAACCACACCTGCAGGCTGATCGTGGACGTTAAACATGAGGTTGGAACACCAGATAAAGTAACATCCCCACACCCGCCCTTCTCTTGCTTTTTATAGCAAAGTGACTTCGCTCACTCTGGCAACCCTAAATGTCCGTTATCCTCTATTCTAATGGCCAAGCGATCAGAGAATAACCGCTTCGATCGCATGAGAACGAGTTCGTTCTAATGCGGATATCGCCAGGCTCCGTCAGACTCGCTTCTAAGCACCAAGAGAGCTGAACGAGGTCAGTGTGGATTACACATCTCCCGGAGCGGCTGTTTCAAGGATAAATGCCACAATTCTGGCATCGCCTTCGCCATCGGGAACAAGCCCGCCAGAAAGCATCTAAACGAGGTCTGCGCTCCACCAGAAGAAGTTTCCCATCATTAACGACGTTTACTTTCCTACCACGGAAAGCAACGATGACTTGAATAAGTCCTGTGAAGATCTAGACGCTCTCTCCTGCGCCTGTGCCAAAGGCGGGTGAATGGATTGTCATATGGCAATTTACAAGCTAATAATTCAGGCTTCACAAGAACACATGAATATATGCAACAAAGACTACGCCAGTTGGCATCATAATTGGTTCTTTCTCAGCGGACTGTACTGGGCAGATTTTGTTGCGTGTTTCGTGGAGGAATAACCGCTAACCCACACCAATGAGTCATGGCGGACGTTAATTACGCTAGGCTTTTAAAACCACATCACGCAAGTGTACAAAGCTGCGAGCGCACGACCGTAATTCCCCATGGTCCACAAAGGAATACAATGTGCTGCGGGGTTTGACGACTCGCCGCCAAAAAGAATCAATCTTCATTGCCTAAAATATGTGCAGAATAAATGAACTCCTCTTATCCAAATAAGAGAGGAGTGTAGACGTTGAGGACAGTGGCACATGCGGGTTGGTTTTACAACGTAGACCCATGAGACAAGTTTCGGAAACTATCCCCGAAAAATATGAGGAGGCAGTTCAGTCTAACAACCACAAGACATCCAGTACCGTCAGACAATAGGAAATTAACTGGGGTATGCTATCACGGGAGGCTAATAAACACAAGGTAGTGCAAGAGAACTAGGCACAACCAAAATAATGTAGGACGAAGGAGGTACAAACGTGTCGCCTGCGGCCAAGGTCACACGTTTGACTGACGATAACGAGCACGGGGAACAAGCGTTTAATGCGTACTGGACTCGGACTTGGACGATGTACCTCCGGCAAGGGGAGAATGCACTAGAGTTAGTCTTCATGTGGAGGCTAAGACGAAGTTTGCGTAACCAAATAACCAAAATCGCAGGGCCAACCCCAATTAGATGGCGAATGAAACCAGCAGATGTCTATTCCATACAAACGTTTTGTGAGGTTTAGAGCCCTTACCCCACGGCTGGTTCTAGGCCTGCGCGCAACTCTACGCACGAGTAATATAGACGCGAACGACTAAGCGCGTTCTGTGTGGAAGTCAGCCAGAGCCAACTTACTGTGCCAAATCGGCGATTCAGAAAGTTGCGGACGCCCGAATGTAACTTCCGTCGGCGCTGAACGCACGCACGCACGCTTCGCAGCTCGAAGTCCGTGGCGACGTAATGTACTGGGCAACACCCGTGACAGGTAAGAGGTGTATATGCACACTTAGGGTGCTACATTCCTCTAAAACTCCGAAAAACTGCGCTACTGTACCCCTCCCATTCCTTAGCCGAGATTTTATATTTATATACGCGTTGGGCCGAGCAGCCACTGGAAGAAACACGCGTCATGTCAGATTATTCGCTGGCGAGTAAAGTCATAACTTTAAGACAAAACGCAATTCATTGATAAACGACCGGTTCACGGCCGACTAATCATAACTGTCAACAGAATCTCACAAAAAGGCTAACGACAATACCTGGACAATCTCACAGTGTATAAGGTCTTGGATCTTCTTGGGTTTGTACCCTCTCGAGCACAGTCGGGGATACAATACTTCGTTACTTGTTCGGAGGACGAAGACGGCGTCAAACCAGCGTTCGGGAAAGAAATCACATGAGTGGTAATCCACAATCTTAAGTAACAACGGCCAAAATTACAGAATACCTGGCCGCCTTCTTGCATCTTCGGTTCCAGCTCGTCTATCACACGGTCTTCGTCAAGAACATGACACTCGTTCTCCTCATCATATCCATCGTACAGCTCTTGTTCCTTCGCGACATCATTGACGGAAATATAATTAAGTTTAGTAGCGGCAGCAAGCTCAGTTGACAACGTCGACTTCCCGCACCCGGGAGTGCCCGTAATTAGAATGTTTGGCAGTGACCTTTGCATTATTCACTATGATGACGAATCGACCCGGAGAAGACTAATAATCTCCGATATTTTCTGTTGTTGTGCTTCAAGATGCGCGGTACTAGCTTCGAGTTGCTTTGCCAAGGAAGATATGCCCTGGATATTGTCAAAAACTTTATTGATGTCTTGTTCCTGGTTCCTAGCAAGATTTATCGCCCTTTTGATTGGGCTGGCAGGCTTAGAACTGTCAACAAGGTTCGCGGTTAACTGATCGAAAGAATCTATTATATCTCGCAGGTTCTGTTGCAGTCTACCTCCAAGGCCATCGCCAGCGTCACGTGAGAACATTCGTATTTTGAGCGAGAAAAACCGCCAATCAGCTTAGTCTTACAAAAATCCTATAAAACGGGTGGTCACCGGAAAATCCGAGCACTCCTGAATATACTGACACTTCCAGCAGGATTTGCATTACACCAATCCGTAGAAAAGAACAGGACTGAGAAAAGAAGTAAAGTACGAGGTTCCGAGATTCAGACAGTACGATAAAAGCCATCTTCCCCAAAATTATTTAACCGCAGAGAGGAAACAGAGACGGTTCAAATTTGTGGGGAACGAATAAAAACGGACAACAATATGAGGATCTATCGCAAAACGAAGGGGTAAAACGGAACCAAATCAAAAGCGAAGAGAACCTCATGCTTCGCATTCCCTGTATAAGTAAACAATCAGGAAACAGCAATCTGTCCCAACCACATCGGTACACCTACTGCATAATAACTTGTCACAATGCCACTGCCTGCAAGGGCTATAGACTAAGTTAAAAGAGCAAAGGAGCAAGACTGCTGCCTAATCACACCGTGAGCGCACTTCCACAGTTGTGTCTTGGTGTTCAGTCAAGAGTCCTCGCAAAACGACAGGTTGGTATGCAGAAGGAGGAGTACCAACAAGGATTAGAGGGTCTGGAATAAGCACATCAGGTTCATAAGCTGCCGTCTGTCAGCCTTCTCCAATCCCATGACATGTTCGTCCTGTAATCTGGTTGGTAAATGTACTTACGAATGACAAATTCGTAATAGGCCCGTGCATGAAGGGCAGAAAGTGGGACTGACTAACACTAGACAGCCAAAGAACCTGAATTTAACCCTCGAAACCTGAAAACCCGCGGTTGTATTAGGCAGACTAACAGCGGATAAGACGCCGATAAATGACCGCCTAAATTGTCCTTGACTTCGTCGAAAATCCCTCTCTAAACATATTTCCGTATGTTAGCCCTTCACTCATTTTTATGGGTCAAAACCGACCGAGGCAGCCGAGTTTTACACCACTGGACCAGCTGAACTACATATATAGACATACACATATGCTCGACCGTTGTTGCCGACAGTGTTGGGGATCGAGTTTCACCGCAACTCACCGTCTGCTTTTAACTTTTGTCCATGCGTTTATTGAAGACTCTACCACTCCGCTCCCGACAATCCAGGCATTAACCGGGAGAGTTCTCAAAACTATAACTAAACTATAAACTAAAACTCGATCTTGCACCTTAAAGTCCTTTTTTCTTCATATATAATCATGTCCACCTGTCTGTCCAAAACCTGTTAATCTCTATGGTAATCACTGTGTATTGGAGAACCGTTTTTGCTGAAAGTTTTGAAAGTTCTTTTCAAAATAAAGCAGTCCTCTCTCTCTCTCTCTCACTCTGTGGGATATGACTGATACAATTCGGCGTCTTCGTCAACCGCATAGCTCTGGAACTGCTGGTGTCCCAGTAAGCATTTTAAAAGCCGATGCAAATACGATTTTCCCATCTCTCTTATGCAAGATATTTAATCTCGCTCTGGAAAATGAAACCTTTCCTACCTTATGGAAGGAATCACACATTTTGCCCATTCCCAAGCATGGCCATTAACGTCATCTGATGACTTTCGGCCAATAAACACCCTCTCTGTAATTTCGAATATCTTAGAGACATTGATCACTGATAAGATGATCTGTCACTTAACAGAGAATAACCTACTGAGTGTTGCTCAGCATGTATTCCTCAAAGCTCGGTCTTGTGACACCTGTCAACTCTCTTTCTTTGACTATGTTCTCCAATCTAGGGACAATGGTTTTGCACTTTACACAGTGTATTTCGATTAAACTAAGGCTTTTGATCGTGTTGACCATGCTTTTCTTCTCTTGAAACTGTCCTCTTTTGGAATAGGTGGCAAACTTTTGAATTTTTTATCCTCTTACCTGGGCCCTCGTACACAACGCGTTAAGATTTCCAATACTATCTCCAACTCCACACGTGTGAGGAGTGGAGTCATTCAGGGTAGTGTACTCGGCCCGCTTTTATTTTGCCTTTTTGTTAAAAATGTACCCGATGCATTTCACAATGCCAAGCTCTTCATGTATTACGATGATCTGAAAGTTGTATATAGGTATAAGCCGGCAGATCGCAACATCGTGCTCGAGCTCCTAAAGAGCGATCCGCAGGCTTTCGCCCAGTGGTGCCGCACATGGCGCCTTTCTCTCTCTTGGCATAAGTGCTCAGTCATGGTGGTTGGCGACGACAGTCAGCCTCAACTAAGTATTGAAAGTCACGCCATAAATGTGCGTGGGGTTATTAAGGATCTGGGTGTATCATACTCCAAGAGCCTCAATCTCTCGGAGCACTGTGTCTTGATAGTCTCCAATGCACGTAGAACGACCGGGTTTATCCTGCGAAACTTTTAAACCAGTGGCATTATAATGCACCTCTATAACATGTACGCTAGACCTGGCCTGGAATACTGTTCGTTTTTATTTAGCCTCATGCGTGCTGCTGAGCGGAAGAAGATAGAGTCCATCCAAAATGTTTTTACTAAGAGAGTTTTAACCCCGGAACACCGACATTTGTCTTACCAAGAACGTTGCCGGCTTACAGGCCTTGACCCTTTATGGTTTCGTAGATTACAAAAGGGACTATTTTGCTATTTATGCTTTTATATAATCGTACCTTTAACCCACTCACTACTTTAAGAGATCTTGTCCACCCCAACATAACAGTCCCCTGCGATGTCTTTTTATTTCTTTCCTTGGCACGTGCCGTTAAATATCGTCAGATCTTTTCTGAAAATGCAATTGCTATTTGGAATCAACTACCCATGAGTGCAAAAACTCTTCAAAATTATCCTTTTTAAGGAGAAGTATTACTCTATTTTTGCATTCAGATAAATTAGCACAAATTTTGGGTGCTGAATCCACTGATCGACTTCACCGTAACGATGGCGTTCGTGGTTTCTGATCCGCATGGCCGTTCTCACCGGGGACAAATTCTGTAGCCAACAGTGATAGCTGTTCTTCGACACTTCTGTTTGAACCAGCCCCAACTTCATGAAAAGAATTGGTAACTAATAATATCCGATACAGTGCAACACCTCCCTTCTTGACTGTCGTCATTTTGTGGTCAGCAATTTTTTTTCTTGAACCCTCCAAACTATAAAAACCACCATTAACTTTATTTTTATTTCTTTTCGACAGGAGTTTATTTTTACTGCTAGCCGGATTTGTGTTGAACGCTTCCCTAACAATGACTGTAAACCTGCAGTAAATACAATTATTATTATTATTAAAGGCATTCATCAGGAAAAAGGAACTTTATTGCGTGAATTATCGACGCCGGCTCCCCAGGCCACCGTCAGACGCAGTGTAAATGTGCCGACAACAGTTAAAATCTGGCAGTGCACATGAAAAATTGATCATCGGTCGCGTTTGTGCCCGTGAGCGGCTGCTATCTGCGTGATTGTGTCCCGATTGGCTCTCGTCTCTTCCATTTCTCCTTGAGAGTTTTGTACGCGGCGTCCAAATCGATATGACGGTTGATGCACGAGTCATCCGAGTGCATGGCCTCAAGGAACCCTCGGCCTTTCTTGAAGGGACAGGCACCGAGAATCCGTGGCCGACGCTACTTTACGGAGCAGAGACATGGACGGTGTACACGAGGCAGGCACGTCGACTGAACCACTTCCACCTCAGTTGTCTCCGTCACATCCTGAAGCTGAACTGGCAGGATCGCATACCCGACACTGGTGTGCTAGAACGTACGGGAATGCTCAGCATTTTTTCCATGCTGAGACAAATGCATTTGCGCTGGAGCGGCCACCTGGTGCGCATGGACGACGAGCGACTACCCAAACGACTCTTCTACGGAGACGTCGCGACGGGTCCTCGCCGTAAAGGAGGCCAAATTCGCCGTTACAAGGATACTCTGAAGTCCGCCCTGAAGCGTCTGCAAATCAACCCGACCAACTGGGAAGAGCTCGCCCGCGATCGTCCGACATGAAGGAGAACAGTGAAGACGAGCGCAGCTATCCACGAAGCCAACTGCATAGCCGCCGCCAAAGCGAAACGCGAAGCCCGCAAATCAAAACTTCGCCCAGTACGCAACGCCGCCGCACAACCGCTCCCTACGTGTCCTCGATGTCAACGGACATTCCGGGCACGAATCGGACTTGTTGGACATCTTCGGAGCAACTGCGCCTCTCGAACTGCACCAACCATCCTCCCCCGCCCGCCTCTTCCTCCCCGCCGCCGACAACTAACTCTGACAATTCTTCTGAACAAACACTTCCATCCTCCTCCTCCTCCTCCTCGTCCTCCTCCTCTCCCACTGCCCCAGCGGCGGTCGCTCAGGCGGCCGTCTCGCACATCAACCCCGACACATCAACCGACACCACCCCCACCTCTCCCGATTCCAGTGATGAGGATCAGGACTACACCTGCCATCACTGCGATCACACCTTCACCTCAAGCATCGGCCTGGTCGGTCACTTGCTAATCCATCGCACAGAGACTGGCGAACCAGTGCCTGGCGCACCAACCTACACCCACCGCACTCGCCTCCACTGCCTACATTGCCCTCGAACCTTCACTCATCGCATGGGTCTATTCGGCCACATGCGCATCCACGAGAGCGGAATCGACTACAAATAAGACACACCCACCACATCCAGCACATCCACCACGCCCAGTCCCACCATCGCTTCGTTGCCCTGCGCACCCATCACCACCACCACCACCACCAACATCACCGCATCCTCCGTAGCTGACACTGACACCACCGACTTCACATGCCCACACTTTTTACGCACATTCACCTCTCGCATCGGCCTGGTCAGTCACTTGCGAATCCATCGCACAGAGACTGGAGAACCAGTGCCTGGAGCACCCACCTATACCCACCAAGTTCGTCTCAACTGCCCACACTGCCCTCGCACTTTCAGGCATCGCATGGGCCTATTCGGCCACATGCGCATCCACGACGACCTGCGGTAGACAACCTCCGGTTACACCACACACTCACAGACTCCATACCCTCCTCCACCATCATCACTACGCATCAACACTCACCCACCGCATGCACCAACTGCCACCTTCCACGCAAGTGGGAAGTGTGCATCTCGACTCGGTCCCCATGCGGTTTCGGCTGCACGGGTGACTTGAGTCCGAGACTATCCCGACACGTCAAGTGTCGTGGATAGGAAGGTTGCTGATTGACGCCCGCTCTCGGTTCACGCAGGTCGTCGCGTTCTGTGTGTGTTGTGTGTAGTGGCGAACTGGTGGGCTGGGGACGGGCCGAAACAGCACCTTCCACGGCCCTCTCACGCAAGTGAGAGACATGGCGTTCAACCCCCGTTGTGTGAAATCCTGGTGTTTGTGTGCGTATGGGGGGCAAGGTCGTGCTGCGGCGCGCGCAGTCGTGGTCAGTCGACCATGTCAGCCACCGCGCCCATTCCTCACTCCAGTCTACTGACCGGCTCGGACAGTGGCTGGGTGTGGGGATGGGAAGGGAGAGTGAGGTCGACGACTCAGCGCACTTTCTCCTCACTATAATCAATCTGACGCGCTTGAAACTATCACGGTGCGCTAAAAGCCGTGGCTTGGAAGGTTGCCAACTGATGGGGTACCTTGGACCTCCTCCTTAACGGGAGGCGGTCTGAGAGTCAGGCTGCAATGGCTCCTTTTTAATGTGGCCTTTATGGCATTCCCACCACAGTGTGGGATCCGAGCCAGGCGTTGGCGGCACGCCCAGGTGCGGCTTCGGTCGTGCCAGCCTCCAAATCTCTGTTGTGTTGGTTGAAATCCTGGTCATTTGTTGTGTGGACCAGGGGGTGTGGTGGAACGCCAAGGTGAGGATCCGTCCGAGCCATTCACCTGCGGCCTCCCCCGTCTCCGGTCTTCTTGACCCTGTCTTGACACCGGGCCCAGGCGGGGGAGGAGGAGAGAGTGTAGGTAGATGCTACGCAAGTCTACTGGCACTCTAAACCCTTGCGCAAGTCACCGTCCCTGTTCCCACCTGCTGTGGGGCACACGGCGAACATCATCGAAATCGATGGTCGAACTGTCGTGTGTGTGTGTGTGTGTGTGTGTGTGTGTGTGTGTGTGTGTGTGGGGTGTAGGGGTGTCAGCGGTGGGTTCACGTGAAGGTCGTAGTGGTCGCTCACTTGCTTGCAGGTGAGACTACGCCTAGCGTCCATTTGCTGGCACCTAACTCTCACCTGTGGCTCCACGTAGCTTGGCTCTGCTCAGCGGCCACACCCCGGGCAACCGTCTCGACCGGCGGGCTAAACCAGGTGAGGGTATCCGTGCGTGCACCTGCACGCGCGGTACTGTGGTCTGCGCTGGCCGGATGGATCTTCGCGTCGACATCGTCGAGACGAGGCTCTGCCTGGACCATCGCAGGCGGCCACCAGGTAAGTTTCCCCTCAGGTAAGTGCGCTTGCTTCGTTTCTTCCTTTTGTTTGTTGAAGTTCCGCGTCGTACGCTGCGCTTGCTGCCTGCCCTTTATATGCTAGTCTGTCTGTTAATAGCTAAACGACACCCACGATGCCTGCTGTGATTGTCTGTCCGTCAGTCTATGCTACTCTCTACTAATAGCTAGGTGTTACGGTGCCTGACTTTGTGTGGTGCCCTCACTTTGTCTCTGACTGGTGACTGTGTCCGCTTGTCCACTCTAGTTCTAAGTCCCATTGCGTTAGGTAGTGTGTATGCTCTCTCCTACTTCACTCCATCACATCGTCAACTCACCACCAAGGTCCCAGGCTAATTCGGGTCGTTCTCTCACTAACAAAAAGTCGTGGCCCATAGTGGAGTCCGGCAGCCGTCTGGGATAACCGGGCAGCCCTGTTCAGGGATGCGTTGCCTGCCCCCGCGAGGGGGAGGGGGCTAGAAAAGGTGCCCTAAAGATCGCTGGGAACCACGCTGTCTGTAGGCTGGCCGTGGACGCAGACAAAAAACACACGGTCGAAACAGCCAAAACCGAAACAACAACAACAACAATCACTCTCTTCCTCTTCCAGCCTATTCTTCTTCTTCTCCTACTCCTACTTTTCGTCGCCGCAGTCGCCAGACTGGCAGGGTGAGCCCGCTCACTCTGGCAGCCTGGAATGTTCGTTCCCTTTTAGACAATCCGAGGAGCAACCGACCGGAACGGAGGACGGCGCTAGTGGCACGAGAACTGGCGCGCTACAAGGTGGACATCGCCGCACTCAGCGAGACCCGATTCTCCGAACAAGGCCAACTGGAGGAGGTGGGTGCCGGCTACACCTTCTTCTGGAGTGGTCGACCCAAGGCAGAGCGACGAGACGCGGGTGTCGCCTTTGCCATCCCGACCGACATCGTGGGACGACTACCCTGTTTGCCGCAGGGAATCAACGACCGTCTGATGAGCCTCCATCTGCCTCTCCGGCGAGGAGGCAAGTTCGCCACCATCATCGGCGCCTACGCTCCGCCGATGACCAGTTCCGACGCCGTCAGAGACAAATTCTACGAGGACCTGCACGCCCTCTTGGCGACTGTGTCGAAGGCGGACAAGTTGATTGTCCTTGGCGACTTCAACGCCCGCGTCGGCACAGACCATACTGCCTGGAAGGGAGTGCTGGGTCCCCACGGTCTCCGCGGCTTCAACGACAACGGCCTGCTTCTCCTCCGCACCTGCGCAGAACACCGCCTCATCCTGACGAACACGTTCTTCTGTCTGCCGGAGCGAGAGAAGGCCACCTGGAGGCATCCTCGGTCGCGCCAGTGGCACCTGCTGGACTATGTCCTCGTCCGGAGGCGAGATCAGCGGGACGTGCTGGTGACGAAGGCGATCGCGGGTGCTGACGGGTGGACCGATCATCGCCTCGTCATCTCGAAGATGCGTATTCGCCTACAGCCTCGCAGGAGACCTCAAGGTAAGCGACCCCCAGGTAAGCTGAATGTTGCCTTGTTGTCTTTGCCTGCTCACCGTCTCCATTTCAGCAATGAGCTAGCTCAACGACTAGGCAACCTTCCTATCGCTGCCGCCGCCGACGATGCCGCCGCCGCTGCCGAGAACACCTCCGTGGAGAACCGCTGGTGTCAACTGCGAGACACGGTCCAGTCGACGGCGCTCGCCGTCCTCGGTCGCGCTCCCCGCCAACACCAGGACTGGTTCGACGACAACGACGCTGCCATCAGAAATCTGCTTGCTGAGAAGAACCGCCTACACAAAGCCTACGTAGATCATCCCACTGAGGACAACAAAGCTGCCTTCTACCGCAGTCGCCGACAGCTTCAGCAACGACTGCGCGAGATGCAGGACGCCTGGACTGCTCGCAAAGCTGAGGAGATCCAAGGCTACGCGGACCGCAACGAATGGAAGAACTTCTTCTCCGCGATCAAAGCTGTCTACGGTCCGCCGACGAAGGGCACTGCTCCTCTCCTCAGCGCCGACGGCAGCACTCTCCTGACTGAGAAGACGCAAATCCTACAGCGATGGGCCGAGCACTTCCGAGGTGTCCTCAACCGCCCCTCCGTCATCTCCGACGCCGCCATCGCCCGCTTGCCGCAAGTGGAGACCAACGTGGACCTCGACCACCCGCCATCTCTCCAGGAGACCATCAGGGCCGTGCAGCAGCTCTCCAGCGGGAAAGCACCCGGATCGGACGCCATCCCTGCTGAGGTCTACAAGCACGGAGGTCCCCTACTGATGGATCACCTGACTGCGCTCTTCCAAGAGATGTGGCGTCAAGGTGAAGTCCCGCAAGATTTCAAGGACGCAACTATCGTGCACCTCTATAAGCGAAAAGGGAATCGCCAAGTCTGCGACAATCACCGCGGCATCTCCCTACTGAACATCGCCGGGAAGGTCTTCGCTCGCATCCTGCTCAACCGCCTCAATAACCATCTGGAACAGGGCCTTCTGCCGGAAAGCCAATGCGGCTTCCGTCCTCATCGTGGGACCACGGATATGATCTTCGCAGCCCGCCAACTTCAGGAGAAGTGCCAGGAGATGCGGACCCACCTGTACTCTACCTTCGTGGACCTGACGAAAGCCTTCGACACGGTGAATCGTGAAGGACTGTGGAAGATCATGCAGAAATTCGGCTGTCCGGAGCG